GGAGCTAAGAGTCTGCATTTCTAATAAGCTCCCTAATGCTGCCAATGGTGCTGGTCCACAGACAAACACTTGGAGCAGCCAGGTCTTAGAAGACGTTATGAGGATTAAATTAAGTGACCTACATAAAACGCTTGGCACAGACATGGTTAGCAGCCCACAGAAGAAAAGACTTATGAAGAAAATAATAAAATGTGGTAAAAACCTAGAAGTCCCATGATCCACTCCTCTTTTCTCTTCCAGATGTGGAAACAACAGGTTGAGAAATGTTAAAATAGCTCCTTCCTAACAGCCAAAGGTGTGTAATGAGAAGATACATTCCCTTTTTTCCCCCCTGAAGAGACATTCTTTTTGACGGCAAAAAGTACAAGCAAGATCAATGAGTGGAAGTTAAAGACAGCTATTCAGTCCATGCAAGGAGAGTCCTTTTATAATAATAAATGTCATCTTATAATCAACTGGCCCTCTTTAGGAGAGAGAATGAAGTCCCAGTTACAAAATATGAGTACAGACCAGTTGATGATATTAAAGAACACATGCTTCAGGTCACTATTAAACTACCTAAGAGACATCACACAATAAGTACAATTAAAAAAAATAAAACAGAAACTTCTCTGTTTCCCTCCCCACTCCAATTCTACTCCCCCTGAGGACTTCTCCTATGCAGTAAATTGAGATGCTTAAGTCAAAAGGTTTTGGAGTCATCCTTAACTTCTCTTCTCTCACTCCTCACATCCATTCCATCAACAATTCCTAATGCTGTACTTTCAAGCAGTGTCCGAACTCCAATTCCTTCTCACTGCCTCCATTAAAACTACCCTGGTCCAAGCCACTGTCTCCTCTGCCAGGATTACTACAATAGCCTCCTAACAAGTTCCTCTGTCTTCAGCCATGATCTTCTACAGTGTTTTCTCCACACAGCAGCCAGTGTATTGCAACTTCTCTGCTCAACCCCTTCTAATGGTTTCACATCTCATTCAGAGTAAGACCCAAAGACCATATAATAGTTTACAAGGCCCTACATGATCTTCCCCCTTCAAATCCTTGATTAGATTTCTTGCTGTTCTCCATCTTTTTCACTCTGCTGCAGATGCCCTTGAACTCACTGTTCCTTGAATCCCATTAAGGACACTTCTATCTCAGGACCTTTGCACTTGCTCTTCCCGTGGCCATGAAGGCTATTCTCTGAGATGTGCAAATTTATGTCCAACATCGCCAATACAGGGCGGGGTCAAAATAGGTTTACAGCTGTTTGTATGGAAAATAATGCAATAATTAATAAATAATACTAATACAAGAATAAACTGTTTCGCATACTCACAACCCTAAACCTACCTTTGCCCCACCCTGTATAAGAAACAACCAAAAGACACCTAACAGAAGCATTCTCATTGCTTTCTATGGAAAAAAGTACTCACAATTAGCTTAAAGGTCAGCATTTTACTTTCCATAGTCGGCACAGTAGAAGGACTGGGTGAGGCACTCTAGTTCCAATTGTGACTTAGCTGCATTTTTTAAAAAATCACACTTCATCGAATCATCTCCTAACACCAAGTAAAGGAAGACGAAGTGCTATACTCCCACATCAGAGCGCCAAAAGAATCTCCTTTCTAATGCCCAGCGGTCTGTAAGCCAGGCTTATCCCACCTCTAACAAAATGAACAAACATCATAGAGTCAATGCCACTCTGCTGTCCACAGGGAATGACATGTGTTTTCTCTTTTTAAAACCAGTTCCTCAGGTGAGCTTGACAAAACCTAGCCACCTCTAGGTAGCCCTGGATGGACAATGGGTAGAGAAAGCTGGAGTGTGGCACCCAGGTGGGTTCCTTCATAGGAAAGGCAGTCACGCGTTTAGAGAGACACCTCCCTCCAGGGACTGCGGTGCATGGTGGGTTCTGGTTCACACCACACAGCAGAAGAGGCACCATTCACAGTGTTTGCTGAGCAGGGACTCCAGCCACACTGCTTTTAGGGCTCAATTAAAGCCACTCTTGGCTTGTACGATCAAACAGCTTCAGAGGGATGGCTATAAATGCCTCTGATGTAAGAATTAATGTGGGCAAGGAGGGGAAAGAGGGAAGTGAAGAAAAATCCTGGCCTGAGCTGCAGTGCCCTGGGGGAGAGGGTGCACTTTGGATGTCAGCTTCAGCCTCAGTTCCTCTCACCTGGTACTACATTCCCCCAACTCGTTCCTTAAGAGCAGGCTACTTTCGGACACAAACCCACAATCCTGCCCCAAAAACCCCAGAGCCGTGCTTTCAGCAACTCAAAGAGCAGCAAGGCATACTCTGACCTATGGCCGTTTCTCAGCCAAGGGACCAGGTCTGTCTTTTGTAAGCAACCTTCTCTGTGATTCTCTCTCAAGGGCTGCCCAGTGCAGCGGCTGAGGGAGACCTAAGAACATGGAATCCAGCTCGCGGATGAAAAAGAACAGAGGCATAAAGTTGGCAAAAAAGATGTTAAACATGCAACTCATCAGGAGACCTCATCCATCTTCTCTTGTACAAAAGCCAAAGACGGCTGCTTATGGGGGATAACAGTGGGAGCTCGCGGCACCGTCACGGGCAAGGAAGTGGGACAGAGCAACAGGAACACTTGCTTTGGATGAAGCATGTTAAATAATTTTCTTGTTCCTGCTGCTGAAGGACAGAACGTGCCCCTCTTAGGACATCATCCTGGGCCCCTAGTTCAGGAAATGAGGCTCGCTCAGTCAAGCCTGCCGTCTGAGGCCCGTCCCATTCAGCAAGCCCCACAAAGGCTGGGCATCAGAACTCGGGGGGGATCATTTGGAATCAACAGGATTTCTGGACTTCGTTCTCCACTTTGCGTAACACATTACTGATCACCCACTGAACTTAATTAATGTACCCACAGGCGATGGGAAAACCAATCTTTCTCTTTCGATAGAAAAACAAAAGCCTCTGAGCAGGGAAAATATGTTGTAAACTTTTAACAGATGAGTTCTCTTCACCCTACAGACTCATTTTGAATATACTATCAAGGAAATGCTATTTAAGTCAGCGTGTATCTCTTTATGAATAAAATAATTTTTTAATTTATCTTTTGGGTAAGTGGATTTTTATATAACAGACTGGCTTAAATTGAGGTAAATTCATGCTGGATAATTTGCACAGCAATAGCTCGCTTCCAACATTCAGACACAGGAATATCACCTGAAAGGCCATATTTTTCACCCCATCTTTAACAATCCAACCACAATACACTCTTTTTTTTTTTAGTACTTAGACTGGGAGAATATTCAAAAACTAATTTCTCCAAATGAGTAGAATCTCAAGTAAATATTTATAAGGAATGTGTCTTCCAGTAACCTGTAGTGGGTAAGTCAGACGTGGGAGACCCAGGGCCCTTGGGGAAAGCAAAAGGCTCCACCCAAACTCCCTCCTCCAACCTTAATTGGTCAAATGCCAAAATAAATGAACTTTCCAAAGTTAGGAGCTTCTCAACTTTCACTGGGAGTATCTGCAGGTGCACAAGCCATGGTCAGAGAGCCCACCGGCCCAGGTGTGCCCAGCGATGGCAGCTGGTCATGCCAGACGGCAGGCCTGAGCCGCCTGCACGCGAAGGGACCCACAGGGAACGGGTTCAGGCCCAGCTGCCCAGGACCCGGGGCTCCGGGACCCCGGCCCAACGCCGGA